ACATGCACACCTCTCAGTGTACTGTATATACAGCAGGGCTGTGGCAGGATCCCATCCTATGTATGGTGAACATGTCAGAATTATAAAAAAAAAAAAAAAAAATAAAGTATCTTTCAGGAACAAGATCCTTGGTTGACTAGGCCTTATCCCTATTCTTGTGTGTGACAATGTTTAGGGACTGAAAAAGTGCTGAACAAAGCAATGAACATTATCCTATGAAGTTAATGAACTATCACAACACCGAATATCTGGAAAAAACTTTATATTCCTAGCATAAATGACAAGGTCATTAAAAGAAATGCCCTACTTGGCATTAATATGCTCAGGCAACCCAACCCTAACCCTTGTACAGAAGCCCCTCTGAACTTTCTTCATAAGTTATTGCATCTTGAAATTGGATCATAAGAATGGCAACTGACCTCCAAATAAATCTAATACATAATCTGTACCATGCATGACAACCGTGACACTTACCTGCACCATGAGAAATTCCCTCTTTCCAGATGATTGTCCTTTACCCCCTAAGATCATCACTTCGCAATTCAAGCTTCATCTTTAAGTAAAATACGATGCTTTAACTTATGTAAATAATTTAGTCACAAAGCATTCTTTCCCAGATTGTGTACACTAATAGCTGCCCTCACCAAGGCAAATGGTAGTATTGCTGTATAACAGAATGCTAGCTTCTACCTAGGAAACAGGTTTAACACTTTCCCTTTAATAATAATAATAATAATAATAAGGGCCCAAACAAATAATAAAGCTGCAACCTTTCAAACTGAATCATTTGCTATACTCCTTGCTCTCAAATGTGCCCATGTGTCTAATCTTGACATTTAAACTGCAATTCTTTATCATTCCTAAATTCTCTAAATTCTACGATGCACAGTGACAACATTCCTTTGTAAAAAGCCAGGCACAAGTACTGGTATTTTTATGGTAAAGCTAAAATTTAACAGAGTTAGGGTTCACCTGTGGATTCTCTCACAGTGGCCTTCGAATGCATGGCAGAACTGATAAGATGGTAAAGGTGCATGCCCTTAAGGAGAGAGTGAATTAAAACCTAGACCTGTCCACTAGTAGTCTGAGGATAATACAAAAAGAACTTCAACTGACCTTTCAAACAGAGTGAGACCGATAGGTTTATGGCACAACCAAGAAAATCACCAGACACTGATGTGAACTGCTGTGAATACTGTATCTCAGAGATGCCGCATCCCTGCCATAGGACATATGGCACCATGACTGCAGAACTGCAATCACCCATCCCCAGGGACGGATAGAATCACCAGGTCTCCATCATGGATCCTCCTTCAAGAGTCAGTGAAGAGTCATCTTATGAAGATTCATCCATCTCAGGATACTAATCTTGATGAATATATTATCATTATCAATCCCCTCATGATGCAAGTGAGGAGTTCTTGATCCAAGGAACTGGACCAGTCTTCCCTTTCAGGAAACTGAACCTTATTGTCTCCCACTCCCCCGAGACATGGTATGATCCTTTAGGGTTTACCACTCCCCTAATCAATGTAATTGTTTCAAGAAATCTCTAAATATTTAATTTACAATTACCATTGTAAATATTTTGAATCAACAGCACCTCTGCTGGTCCCTGTAACATATTGAATATGTTGCACTGTCATGCTCATGACTGAATTATTGTGTAGCCAACACCTTACCATTAACTTTATTTTTTCTTATCTAGCAGAATGCTGGGCTGCAATTCCCAAACCCATTATGTAATACTGATTACTTTCCACAGAATGAGTATGGGAGTGCATAAAAATCTATCAGACTAATCAAACTTTACTTCTGAAATAAGTTCAAAGATGGATTGCAACATTCTCTGGAAACTATAACACCATGTAACAACTAAATACTACTGTTCTGAACATGCGACACCATGAGTATCACACCTCTCTTGTGGCTACAAATGTGTACAATAATTCCATACACATTTTCATGACTCAGACCTTGAAAAATAACTAAATAAAATTTGAAGGGCTGTATAGTATAGTATGTGCAGAATTTAACCTGGGGTCCAAGAGGATACTAGGCCCATATGCTAGCCACTGTACAAGTGTACCAATGACCAGAATAAAATAATAGAAACCAGTAAATTAACAGGAACCAGTGAAACAGCACACTAAATTCCAATTGTGCCATGGAAGGATCACCATCACTCGCCCAATTCATGCACAAAAATCTCTATGATATTCCTCGTGTCAGGCTAAATCTTTTCAAAAACTCAATGTACATAGAAGGGCTCAAAATCTGGAACTTTCTGCCAGAAATCTCCAGAACCACTGACTCAACTAGAATTTTTAAAACTACAGTTATAAAACACCTTATCTCCTTAACCTATCTCTGCCCATCATAAATACATATGTAAAAACTATATATGCATTTGCTCAATATCATGAACATAGGTAAAACATTATAATCAATATATACTTACTCTGAATATCTGTAATCTTCTTAAATGTTAATCATTCCATTGTGTGTGCCTTAGGTTAATAATCAAAACTAATTCTTCCTCTCTACCAAACCTATTAAAGCCATATAGCATGAACTAATAGAATGTTCAGTTCTCTTGTATTCATTGTCAACTCACCTAATGACCATATGTACAAATATACTGCACTGTTATGCTTTATTAATCTTAAGTTTGCCTGAAATGGCATGTACACTCAATTGTTATACTCCTTTGTAAAAACATGTATCATGCTGAAATAAAGTTCTAATTCTTCTTATTCTTATGTTTTAGAGTACTCAAGTCAAAATTTCTTATACCAATCCTACCTGACTTCTGACCTATGCGACTTGCATCCATCTGCATACACGACCGAAAAAATAACTATAAATTAGAAAAATAAAAAATTTATGTACGTAAATATAAAGTGCCTCTGCAAAGACAGTGATTACGTATGAGTGATGGTGAAAGTGTTGAATAATGATGAAAGTTTTTTCTTTCTTTTTGGGTCACCTGCCTCGGTGGGAAATGACCGAAATGTTAAAAAAAAAAAAAAAAAAAAAGATTACCCTTGGTCATGTGTCTGCCAGCGTTAGCAGCCGTGTATTTGTTAAAATTAAAAAAAAAAAAACTAAGAAGGTAAAAGACAATGTTGAAATAATGAGTAACAAGAAAATTGATAGGCCTAGCTTAGGCTACATTCCGTACAGCATTTTTATTTATGAAGCCTATGAATGATACCTATATGTAAGGAACATCAGTTTGTAAATAATGAAACTTATGGTAACAAAGCAGGCTGATAAAAAAATGAGATAATCATGACAGAAATTTATTAGATTAAAAAGAATGTAATATACATGTATACGACTTCTACATGTCATGCTAACATAATTCTGACATCTATCCATTTCGAGATTCAACTAGTTGTTCGGAACGGAGCTTGGACGTAAGTCAGGGAGGATCTGTATTTCTAAAATTAGTATTATGTATCACTGTAAATTTGGGCAACATTTTTTCTGGGGGTAAGGGAGGGAGGTTGGAGGTAGAAAGGAGAGTCATATTTATTTATTTATTTATTTATTTAGAAATTTTAGCATACATACAGAGGTACAAAAAAAATACAGGTAAGAGCACCATGCCAATGCCACTTATATGCATTACGGGCTACCCTATGTCATCAGTCCTATAATGTATGCTGGCCATTATATGTTCACAAACAGCTTTAAATTTTGTATATTCCTTTAATCAAGTCATATGTCTAAATCTGATTTCTGCCACATTTTGATCCAAGGAACTGGACTAATCTTCCCCTTCCATGTACTAAACCTGAATGCCACCCACTCCCCAGGCACTAAATGACCATTAAGGATTTAACCCTTCCCCATGATTACAACAAAATAAATTAACATAAATGGGGAGAAAATTAATGTTATGTGTATGACATTAACCCTTTGACTGTTGCAAGCCCCAATCCTGAGGTGTCTCCTGGTGTCGCAAAATTCCCAAAAAAAAAAAAAAATAATAATTTTTTCTTATGAAATGATAGAGAATCTTTTCCCGATTGTAATGACACCAAAAGAACGAAATTTTATGGAAAACTGATGGCATTACGCTCTCGCGAAGTTAGCGACCTCAGAGATATTTACGAATCAGCGATTTCACCCACTTTGAGCCCTATTTTCAGCTAATTCTATTGTTCCAGTCGACCAAACTCATAGCTATTTCTTTAGAACTCCATTTTTTCTATTGATTGAGTACAAGAAACTGCCCATTTACCTATTTCAACTACCCAATAACATGGTCAGAAATTTGCAATTTGGCCAACTTAACGAAAATTAAAAAATATGACAATTTCAAAACAGGGTCCAGAATGAACAATGCAGACATTCCTGGCTCTAAAATAACATTTTCTTTGTTCATCAGTCATGTCTCCAGGCCCCTCTGATATTACTCTTGCTCTCTATTTTGAATTTTTATTCTAGCAAAAAATAGAAGATTTACTGTTATGAAGACTACTGCAATATTGTAATAATTGTATAAATAATGTCAACCCATTCATGACTGCATATTAGAATGGCTACTTGGACATTTATTGGAAAATGACATCATTTGTTTGCTTTTGAACATTGGCAAAAATCAAACATTTCCCCTACTTTGAGCTCCATTTCAAGGTTCTTTTCATAGTAAAACCAATCAAAATCACTGCTATTTCTATAATATGTTTTCCATTCTATCAAATGAGACCAAGAAAATGAGAATACACCCATAAATACTATACAAAAATAGACCACAAAGTTGGCATTTTAATTAAAAAAAAAACGGTCGGAGTTTTTCTTTCTCGTTATGCACTGCATGCTGCAGGATTTTTTTTATATGGTGCACACTGACCACAGACCCATTCTGTTACATGTGGGCCTACCAGCTTTCTCCTGCTTGATTTGAAGCCGCTAGAACTATTGTGTATATATACATCTGAAACACTGGCTGAAACAGTCAAAGGGTTAATTACAGGTACAGTACTTACCTACAACGATGAGCTTGACCTCAGCCACCTGTTCAGGAACAGTTCCAACATGGCACTGAAAGAAGCCAGAGTCTTCTGGCTGTACATGAGTAAAGTGGAGACTGTGGTCACTAAAGCCAGTCTCATGCAAGGGACTGAACCTCTCATCACTGGTATATCTGAAAACAAGTACAGTGGAATCTCAGTATTCGCACATCCCTATATTCATACTAGATATTTGCCTAGCTTTTTTCAGAAAAATTTCACTCAGTATTCAAACATTGCCCTGATATTCGACCCAAACAAAACGATCCATCTGGATGAAGTTCGACAAAAACAAAGCATAACACACTCAGTCTCTCATCAGCTTTTGTTTGTTAAGCATCATTCATACAAGTTCCGTGAAACTTTTTGGTATTTCATTATTATTCTGTAATGTTTTTTAAATATTTTCATTGAAAATAAGTAATCATGGCCCCCAAAATATGGTAGTGGTCCAAACAAGCCTAAAAGAAAAGCAGTGAGAACAACAATTAAAGAGAAAAAGTAACTCATCACGAAGTGGAAAAGTGGAACACGCATGTCGGACCTGGCCACTCAATATGGTATGGCAAAATCCACCACATCATCCATGTTGAATAATAAAGACGCAGTAAAAAGGGCTGATGTGGTGAAAAGAGTGCAAATGAAAAACTCTTATTAGAGTAGATTAACAAAACAATAATTGGCCGGTGACAGTGTTTCTGAAACAATAATTTGTGAAAAAGCAAAGCAGTTGTATAGTGATCTTAGACAAGACACCCTGGGAAACAGTGCTGAAAGTGATGAATTTAAGACTTGAATAACTATAGATCAATATCTAACTTACCACTGCTCTCTAAAATCTTTGAAAAATTAATTCATAGACGGATCTATTCCTACCTCGTCTCACACAACATATTAAGTCTGTCGAGAGTGAGCAAGGAGGCAGGTCACGGCTGTTAGGGCGCTACCCACATTATCCTTAAACCCTTGTCATTTTGGATTCAGGAATAATAAAAGCACAAATGATGCTATCGTACACATGCTAGAACTAATATATACTGCACTTGAAAAGAAAGAAGTTCCGCTGGGCATTTTCATTGATTTACGTAAAGCTTTCGATACAGTCAACCATGAACTGATGTACTCCAAATTAACGCACTATGGTATCAGAAGCCACTCCCTCAACTACCTAAAATCATACCTAAGTAACAGAGCTCAATATGTGTATGCAAATGATGCAAACTCTTCCACCCAACGAATCACAGAAGGAGTCCTACAAGGAAGTGTCCTTGGACCACTCCTCTTTCTCATCTACATCAATGATCTACTGAATGCATCACAGCTACTCAAACCCATATTATTTGCAGATGACACTACATACGTCTTTTCCCACCCAAACACAGTCATACTAGCAAACACAGTCAATGCCGAATTGCAGAAAATATCTGCCTGGATTATGACTAATAAACTTATCCTGAATACTGATAAAACCTATTTCATTCAGTTTGGAAACAAAGCTGCAAATGATCCAATTAACATAGCACTAAATGGATCATCAGTCACAAGACTCATAGAGGAAAAATTCCTAGGTATCCACCATGACAGTAGCCTTAAGTTCCAGACACATACAACAAATAACCAAGAAAATCTCCAAGACTGTAGGCATACTATCAAAGATAAGGTACTACGTTCCACAATCAGCTCTCCTGGCACTGTACCATTCACTCATATACCCTTATCTTACATATGGAATTTGTGCATGGAGATCAACAACATCCAATCACCTAAAACCCCTAATAACCCAGCAAAAGGCAACAGTAAGAATGATAACAAATTCCCACTCCTGCCAGCATACTCCACCAATTTTCAAAAGTCTGAATCTGCTCACCATTAAGAACATCCATACTTATTCATGTGCCTACTACATACACAGAAGAATACATGCAAATATAAACCCTCCACTCAAACTTCTCTTCACCAACCTTAACAGGACACATGACTACAACACAAGACACAGATCTCGTTTTGATATACCTCGTGCCCATATCACTCTGTGTAAAAACTCTATGCACATAAAGGGCCCCAAAATATGGAATTCATTACCAGAAGATATTAAAGTAACCCGGTCTGAAAATCAATTTAAGACTCTTCTCAAAAGCCACTTAATCACCCTAGACTAAATGCTAAATACTCAGTACACACACACTCACTTACATACTCCCACATCATGACTTCAACAATCACTTTGAACCTTTTATCCATTGTTGACAGGAATATAATTGAATCATTGTTTTCACAAAAAACATTTTTGAATATATGAATATATCTTTTGTCTCATACAAATTAGATTCACTTATAATTAATAATCTACTGTACAACTATGAAATAATTACTATCCTACTGTACAACTATGTTATAATCCTTAGTGTTAAGTAGTTTGTAAGCCAATAATATTAAGTTGGCCCATAATGCCTAGGCATAATAGAGGCTCTCTTTGCATTGCAATCCACTATTGTAAATACAAAATCTCAATGTGCTGTTTGCAAAGACATAAAATAAATAAAATAAATAAATAAATAACAGGTAGGGGATGGTTTAACCCTTTCAGGGTCCAGAGGCCAAATTTCAAAGTGTGCACCAGGGTCCAAGAAGTAATAAAAAAAAAAAAACGTTATTTTTTCTCATGAAATGTTAGAGAATCTTTTTCTGAAGGTAATGAAACAAAAAGTACAAAATTTGATGGAAAATTGACGAAATTATGCTCTCGCAAATTTTGATGTGTCAGCGATATTTGCGCATTGGCGATTTTGCGGACTTTGACTCCCATTTTAGGCCAATTACATTATTCCAGTTGATCAAATTCTTAGCTATTTCACTAGTATTATTTCTATTCTATTAATTGAGCACAAGAAATTGCCATGTCAACTGTTTCAACTACAAAATAAAGTGATCGGAAATTGGTAATTTGGCCAATTTAATGCAAAGTTCAAAATATTCCATTTTCAAAATGGGGTTCAGAATAAACAATGCAGGCATTCCTGGCACTAAACTAACATTTCCTCTGTTACGTTTAGTTACGTTTTCAGACTTTACAAATGAATTCCATTTTGATTTTCTATTCACATAATGAATTTTTATTCAAACCAAAAAGTAGAAGATTTACTGTTATGCAATATTGTAATAATTGTAAAAATAATATCACTACATTTGTGAACATATATTAGACCCACCAGCTGGCGTGTATTAGACGTGTGAGGTCATTTGTTTACTCTTAAACATCGGCAAAAATTTAACATTTCTGCTACTTTGAGCTCAGTTTCAAGCCATTTCCAGTACTAAAACCAATCAAAATCATCTCTATTTCTGTAAAATACCTTCCATTCTATCAAATGAGACCAAGAAATTGCAAATATAACTAAAAAATATACAAAAAATACTGCAAAGTCGCCGTTTTAATCGAAAATTACGGTCTCAGCTTTTTCTCTCATTATGCACTATGTGCTGCAGGATTTGTTTTATGTGGTGCACACATATCACATAGATGTATTCTCTCATATCTAGGCTCAAATTTACCGCTCAAAGCTTATCAGAGTGAGCTGAGCTCATGGCGGAGATCTATGGTTTGGACCCTCAACTCAAAGCCATAGAACTACGGCACGGACCCTGAAAGGGTTGAACTAGCATCAGTTGTCAGATAGAAGGGCTTAGAAAAATCTGGAAATTTCAAAATTGGAGCAGATGTTAGCTTTTCTTTTAGAGTTTGGAATGCTCTTTCTTGACGGAAGGTCCAAACAAAAGGAGCATCTTTCTTAAGCAACTCAGTTAGAGGAGCAGCTATGGAAGAAAAATTGACAATGAAAGATCTATAAAAACCTGCTAAGCCCACAAAGGATCTTACGGCATCAGCAGTTTTGGGAGTTGGAAAATTTAGTACTGCAGTTACTTTACTTTGGTCAGTCGTAACCCCTCTAGGAGTGACTACGTGACCAAGAAACTTAATTTCTGATTCTGAAAAATTGACATTTAGATAGTTTGATCTTTAATTGGCTTCTTCAAGCTTACCAAGTACTACATCAAGTCTTTTCAAGTGTGTATCCACGTCTTAGACATGACGATTACGTCATCTAAGTACACCATAAGTGCATTACCTATGAGACCTCTAAAGATATTAGTCATGAGCCTTGAGAACGTGATAGGGGAAGATCGTAATCCAAACGCCATACGGAGGAAGTGATAATGACCTGTAGGAGTGGAGAATGCAGTTAGCTCTTGGCTGTCCCGTGAAGAGGGACTTGCCAAAACCCTTGTAAACAAATCCAGGGTTGAAAAGACTGTTATCTCCGATATTACGTAAAAGATCACCCAGTACAGGGAGTGGAAAGCGATCTGGGATAGTTTTCGCGTCTAACTTCCTAAAGTCAATCACTGGGCGCCAAGTACCATCCTTCTTGGGGTACTAGTATCAAGGGGGCACCCAAAGGGGGGAATTGCTAAGTGCAAAAACCTCCTTTCATCAAGCATTTAAATTGATAAAATTCTTCTGCGACACCCAATTTTGTGAATGAGGCTTTCCCCTGAAACCGCAAAAGGGTTAGATGGGTTTCAAGTACCAGGTTCAAGTGGAAACAAAGGGGGACAAAAAGTTCTTTATAACCATTTTCTCACCTGGTTAAAGCAATGGCTTTACGAAAGTTTTTTTTCAACAAGTCAAAAAAACGCTTGACTTCATCTGGAAAGTCAGTGGGAAACTAAGTCTTTCTCCTCAACTGGTGGAACAGGGTTGATCCCGTGAAAATGGGTGAGGGCTTTTTATAAGATTTGGAGTCTTAAACCCCCTTTTACTGTTTTTAGGGGCCCCCCTTTCTGAAACCCCTTCTATGTCGCTAAATTTTTTTAAAAAAAAAAAAAAAATTTTTTTTTTCTTATGAAAAAAATAAGAGAATCTTTTCCCCATGGTAAAGACAACCCCAAAAATTTTGAAAATTTTGGGCCCAAAACTCATGGAATTACGCTCCCGCCCAAAAAATAGTGGGCTCGGCGACATATTCATATGGGGATTTCGCCAACTTTTAGCCCTATTTTTAGCCAATTCCGTTTTTCCAGGGGGTTTACCAAACCATAGCTATTTTTTTAAACTTATTTTTATCAAACACTG